TTCCAGCAGAGGCCGGGAGCTTCGGGTGCACCGCCAGAAGAATTGTCATCGAGCACTCAGTTAATGAGCAAGTCTGTCAGGGAAAGGAACTAGAATGAGCGGACATAGGATCAGTTATGATGACCGTAAGTTAAAAGGTAATAAAATATGAACGGGAAACGAAAAGGAACTCCAGATGAAAATAATCTGTTAACACTAATAAATGATGATACAGCGGTCAGTAAATTTTAAGTTTGTGGCCATAACTTGAAGGAGGGGAGTTTCCACTTGGCACAAAAGTTAACCAAATTACCGCCGTGACATAAACAGCCTGTTTCTTCTGACCTGCAATACGCAATGTTTCAGGCATGAGTGTCAGTGGTGGTTAGTTGTGGAGGCATGTGTGTCATCTCTCCATCCTGTATTAAAGTGGAGTTGTTTTCTTAATTGCACTCAACACTTGTCTCATTCTTCTTTCCTCTGTGAAACACGAGTGAACTTCATCCCTGCGAGACATTGACGTGTAGAGAGAATCTGGGGGTTCATTATCTCTTGTTCTTTGTACTTTAAGTTTACTTATATAAACCCAGTGGTTATCTGTGGCCAGTCGTGTTTGTCGAAGTGGTATAAATATATGGCCATATCTGCAGACAGGTGTATACCTATATTTTCAGGGACAAAAAAATCATTTTTATGCGGAGAGGAGCGTGAAGATAGTGGTAGGGGGCTGATGAAAAATGTTGACCATCCATTCGTGGCCAATTACGATGAGTAACCCCTTAATGAATGGACCAGGTTCCGCCCCAGGAAGCTGTCCTTTCATCCTAGACATATACAAATTACAAATAGAGTACTTATTACTATGGAGCCTGTGACACCGCAACCACTTACCATAACAGTGAAACATATCGCTTGATATGTGAAGGTGAAAATCTAAGAGATAAAGAAATCCTAAGTGCTGTGAACACGTTTACAAGTAAAAAGAAAATTTGAGCATGGAGTTAAGGAAACCTTAATCTGCAGAATGAAAGGACGATGAAGAAGCATCGGTAAGGAAGGTCAGGAATAGACTATTTTGAGCACTACAACTGAGCGTATTCAAACGCCAGTTGGAACCAGGAGAGTATCCTATTCACCAGATGGTGGCTATCTTACCATGACAATCAGGTCGAGGGACAGAAGGAAACTGCCGGTGGAGCGGACTTCACCACCCCAGATCAAGAACCGTTCGGTATAAAAGCATGTATAGTTATTCTTAGGTCATAACCACTTCCACTGACATGTGGACACTGGGTTCCTACGCAGCCGTCTCTGGGTGCTTCTACTGTAGGTCATCTATCTACAAATGGACTCTAGATATCATCTTGGCCCAAAACGAGTTGACAAGCCCCTTAATTTACTTCAGAGAAGCACTGCTGTTGAGGGGTGGGGGAAGCCTATTTTTAGTCAGACAGCACGTAGTGGAGGACTTCTATCTAACCCTTTTACTGTGTCTGTCAGGATTTCCGAAGTCTCATGATGGTACGTATTTCCAAACTCGTGGGGGAAACATTATGGAGGGCCATGAGAAATTTTGTGAAGAGGAGCTAAGTCGTTTCTTTGACGACGTTTCTACGGAGGTCCAATGGACAGTACAGCGCACCATTACGCGTAATCTAAATTTCTGGCGCCACCCAACATGCGTCTGATGGACTCCTTTGTATATATTCAGGTAGTGATTTGTTGTTATTGGTCCTACTCGAAAAAAATGAACGAGGTGCACTCCAGTGCCACTGTAACATAAACTTTAAAAAGGAGCTTGTTGTCTCATTTTGTTCAGAAGCCCTCCAGAAGGAGACCTGTTTATCTGATAGCCTTAAAGATGACACCCGAGACATGTTCGGTGGACCTGAGGTTGCCATATCTCAGTATGACTTCAGTGTTAGCACAAAGAATCCAGCGTTCTATCATCTTCCCTTCATTCTGAGTGGCTGCAACACTAGAGGAGAGAGGAGAGATGGCAAACAGATCCAACAGAAAATAAAAAACAATCCGCTGTCGCCAGAAAGACAAGCAGTAACATCATGTTCGCACGTAGCGCCCTAGCTTGATGCTATAAAGCGGTTTGTCTTGGCGCTGCCAACCTGTGGGATAATTTTTCTTGAGAACAGTGGTTTTAATTAATTTATATGGCCAACCCAAACAGTGAAAAAAAGCACTGTTAAGTGGCTGCATAATTACCGTGACAACAATTGCATAACGGGAAAAGATCGAGAACGAAAATCCACGATATGACCTCAGCATTCAGAAGACATGTTTCATTTTTACCTGGTGACTGCTGTATGAGCCGAGTTGAATGCACTGCTAGTTTGATATGAAGTTTAGTTCATGTAGACAGTGGAATTCGCAAAGAGAAAGCTTTTCATAAATTATGAAGGTGAAGAATAAGCGCACAAGTACAAGGAGGAACAAGCTTACCATTTTGTTATCTGACCCCATACTCTCACAATAAACCCATAAACCAATCACTTATTCTTCGCATTTCTGAATACCCACAAGTACGAAACCAAGGGAGCACAAAACAACACAGTCGGGTGGGAACAGTATACTTAGTGAAACATGCCGAAAAACCGAGGTGTGTGAACCTGCCGGCAGAGGGATTGTGAAGAAGCAAAGCAACACGGTGGGAAAAGTAGCAAGTGGTGTAAATACTTGACCTTCAGCTTGACTGATTTGTTGAAACTGAGGTCAGCATTACTGTTGAATCTCGCCGAACTTTAGATTGCTGAATTTGGGGACTATTTGTTGTTAGATAAACAGGTGGGCACGCGTGACTCGCCACTAACCCACTCAGAAATTCTCTAACATCTCTAGCTCACCGCAACGACTACATTGTACTGACTTGCACCCCTCCTAGTCTTGATTTTCCAAAGAGTTTCCAAACACTCTTGGTGGATGTTCCTCTCCTTGTGACGTTGTCCATTCCCATTTGTCGTTGCTTAATTTATGCTAACCTCCAAAGTGCGAGATTCTTACACAAAGAGATTGCATAATGAAGATTGATTTTCCCAGAAGCTGCTAAGATTCTTTCCCGACCCAGTCTACGGACCACCAAGCGGTGTAATCCAGACACGACCACGTGACGACAGCCAACAGCAGGAAGGAAGGTAGAACATTTGCAACCATTGAGGAAGTAAGACCAGAGGAAAGTAACACTTCCCTAGGACCTAGACTCGACAGTTCAAAAGATGTCGGCTCGATAAATTGGCTTGAATGATATTATCCACCAGGTGCTGCTCAATGCTTCTTACATCCTAATCCAAAAACTTGCGCCAGCAGGTACAAACGAACCTATTCCTTTCTGATTCGAGGTGTATTTAGATGATGAACGATTCTTCACAAAGTGGACAGAACGCGACCTAGATAGAGATCACCGACACTGCATGTAGCGGTCCGAAGATCGCTTCTCTCTCTGCTGTTTACTGAAGGTCTCTCAGAAAATTTCCCCACCTGTAATTCTGGGTGACAACGTCATAATTCGATACGCAGTAAACGAAGAGGCCGAGTGCGCAGAACCCAAGAACGGCATCCAGCAGCTTAAATTCATGGTGTCAGTGAACGGCTCAGCTTCGACCCGTTGGCGTACAAAATAATGTAAATCTGGGCCCACGAAGTAGCACTGGCTAGACACGCACAAGAGCTGAGAAGCCATGCAATCACTACAGTATTCACGAGAACCGAATAGCAGCAAGAGCTAGTGCTAGGCTACGCTTCCCGCGCAGACACCCCAGTGCTCACATTCCGGAACTCTCTGACCGTTTTAAAATTTGATATGCGGCCACGTCTGGAGGTGATCAGTACGTTAGTAACCTATGCACTCAAGCGTGACTCCAATCTCTAAGGGTCCACGACCAAATAAGTTGTCATACTGAGGAAAGAGAGGTGTTTTGACAGACTGGGGTGCCCAGACATACTTGCTTGGGACCACTGCAAGAAGAGGGGTAACTTTATTTCGGCCAACGAAACCATCAACAAAACGGCTCACGCGAACAAACCAACCATGTTCGAAGCATGACGGAAATCCCATCAGAACAGCATATCAGAAAGCTCACAAAACAAACAAGCCAAACTTAGTTGTTTTGAGAGTGTTTGGCTTGAAATACTGGTCAGCCGCTTTGCGTACAAACTCTTCGATATTCACTGTATTCATTCATTTTACGTTCATTCTTCTGGAACGTCCTATTTCAGGAATTGTCCTGGTACGAACGTGACAGACGCAGAGGTCAGTCACCAAGTACTCGAACCCGTTATGTACCCACGAATACGAGACCAAGAAAAAATACTATAACATAGTCGGATGGAATAGTATATTTGCGAGGTCATGCCAAGATACTGATGCGTTCCAACTAACTGGCTAGAGGGTCGATTACGAACGACGCAACGTCACACGACAGCGTGCCGAATGGTGAGGATGCTTGACCGGGTGCCTTCAGCTTAGCGAGTCCAGTTAAGCCATCAAGGTCAGCACTAATGTTGAATCTTGTCGAATCTCAGGATGTTGGATCTGGGGAAGTGGGTAACGCTAAATTATGGACCCTTCCGGCCTATCCCACTATTGCCATCAGCCCACCTATAAAGACGGGAGTCGGGAAAGACTCCTAATCCTAACCCAACCCGTAGCCTCCAACTCAGTTCTGTATACATGTAGCTAATACAAGCTGAAGACACTCACCAGAGGTGAAGCGGGAAAATCGAAAGACTTCCTTGCCTACTACAGCACCATCAAAAGACAAGAAAGACCGAACTCCGAGGAACGGGCCAAAGGGCTATAAACTACCAGTTTCCTACCCTGGTACAATCATTATTAGATGTAGGGTATGAGTTCAATCACAATTAACTTGCCTTTCCTATATAAAAGCTGTATCTTTTCTCTCTATGGTTTTTATGCAGTATTATATTGAGAATAAGCGGTCCATTGCATCTGGACACAAAAGCCAGACCAGCAGAAACTTTTTGTTTTCCGTTACCAATCATTCAAAACCACTATTATTGTTGTGTAGTGTATGGAGGTGCATATGACCTCAAGGTCATGCGCAAAATGGTCTTAAACGAGCACGTGTTAGTGCATTTACTGTGTTCTTTTGTCTCACTAGGTTTCACAGCCGAACTAAAAGCCGTAACTCTCGAAGAAGCAGTAAACTTAGATCTTTCTCAGCATGTGGAAGGGTCAAGCACAGCTCTGTTGTTCATAAGTAGTTCATTTCGTTTTTATAATCCTTTTCATGTAGTCCCTGATCGATGTCACGAATGTCATATGTACAGGAAATTAATGGGTGAGATTGCTTCAGATAATCTGTACAGTGGTATGTTGTATTAGACTTGAAATGTCTTACGTAAGGTGATATTTTCCATCTTAATCACTCGGTTGTCCCTTGGATTAACAAGCTCTCTGCTCCATCCATTCTGTTTTTGAATGCTAAGAGAAAGACTCCTTATTTCGGTGAGTTGTTTAGCTGGACATTCCACCTTCATGTTAGGGGATTCCAAATAAGTATCTAGCTGACAAGCTCCTTGTTTTTATTTAGCCAGCCAATCTTCATTCCACCATGGAAGGCTAAAAATTTTCCGTTTTCCTAAATTCTGGTGTAAAAAAAAAAGATCTTACGAATATTTGAAGTTCAAATCACATGCGATAGGTGGGATAGAAGTTATGAGAAGGGTGTTGTAGATTTTTGCGGAAATACAGCAAATTTTGGTAGGTACTGTTGCACTGTGGGCAAGCCACTCTGGTTAAGGGTTGATAAACTATGTAAATACGGTGGTAAAGCAATGAAGAATTCCGGGGAAACCTAAATATCAAACCTCCTTTAGTTAGCCGTCTCATATTCAGTGTTTTCCGGAACTTAATAACTATTCTTTTCTAGAACCTCATCTCTTCCTCATACTTGGGTATGCTCTGCACAAGTCTTGTGTGTTTTAGCCAGTGTTTGGATAGATTTGTATAATTTCGTGTCTTACTTGACAAGTACCTACGTTTTCTGAAATCAAATTTAGTATCAAATATATTCATAACTTATTTTACATTCAAATAATACTAGCAACCATTACTCTTATGTGCGACAATTCCTTGACTAACGACACTGAATATGCCATCTTGTCATTGTTACTAAAGTGCTTCTAAGAAAACAGCATATTCAGGAATCTTAAACTATGTAAAAACATTAGAATGTATTCAAGAAAATCGAAGTAATAATTACGCTTCCTAGTTAGATGGTGTTTCACAACTTTAGGTACGTAAAGCATCGGTTAAATCAGTTGGTTTCCCGTGCATTCCAAAAAATGGTTAAAAAATGAGAATCAGCATCAAATAACAACAACTGGAAGTTATCAGTCTTTAACATATAGTACAGCATTACTCTAAAGTCTATTTAGAGGCCATATAAACCTATCACAAGCAAAACACAATTAAAGTGACGTGATTACATGCACTAAAAAACAAATGTCCATCTGGAGAACAGTAATGCTACTCTCCCTGGTACATGCGTTTATATACTAGGCTGTGAGATATACTTGTTTCATGCGGTCTTAGATTACTATTCCGTTGCACGGACCGAGGCAGATGAACTGGAATTTCAAACCAAGATCCATTGGCAGAAAGTTCAGTGTATAAACCAATCCCCACCATATCCGAAATAATGTTACATGGATACTGAGTTTATTGCATTAAGTTAAAAGGATGGCATAGGTTTAGGCTGAAAGGTGAAAAACGTCTAGACCATAACGTGGCGTCATTTCATGAAGCTTGTAATTGCTGATGTAAGCCGTGTGGTTCAGAATTGGTCACCATGGTGCAGATACATTCATATATTATTTCATTCCTTATTGCCATACCAGATTTCATTATTTGTATTTCCCCTTCTCTTCTTGTGACTTTCTACAACTTTTGAATGATGTTTAGCAGATGAATCAGTTTCTCTTCCAGGATTTATAGTGAAACTGATTTTGGTTGGGTTACACCCGAAGAAAAGTAGCATAGTTTCTCTATTTAAAGTATTCTTGTAGTGGGTGAACCTTGGCAAGCTGAGATTGGTTAATACGCTGGACCCAGGATACTTCAGCTTTGAATCGGGATTAAGAAATACATCCCGCCACGTCTGTAAAGACGAACTTAGATTAACCTGCTAGACTGATTTACGCAGTTTCATAAATGATAATTATTATGGATGATTCGTGTACTGCCGGTATTTCTTCCTAATGCAAAAGAAAACTGACCCTTATTTATTCCAATAAAATCATTGATGTTTCCCCACCCTGTCGCTGAACATTTATACCGCTCAACTATTTAGCTACAACTTTCATCCCTCACCTATTTACATCCCTAGAAACTCACTTCGAGATGTGATTAAAAAACTGACGTAGTTAAAACAGCCAACGAAAGTGAAGAAAGCTGTATCCAATCGCTACGTAATTACACGTTGTACGATTTAGTACAGGAGGACATACATATGAAACGCAAACAGGAATGAAATGAAGGGTATCAACATGGAAACATGAAGAAGTTGAAGGGGACGTTCGAGTTGTCTATGAATACTGAATCGAGTAAGGGAAAATTACGTCATACTAAACAAAACACTTCGTATCTAGGTAAGATGTCTCGTAACAGTGTAGGCCTACAAAGTGAAAATATTTGGTGCATAACAAAAGTAACAACAACAGTAATTAAGTCCATTCAATGAAATAGGCTAAGTAGGGGAAAATCCTCTAGTCATCATCATCGTGGCATCTGGTATTACTACGCAGCAGTCCAAGTTATCACACGTATCAGTACCTAGTTAGTAGACACATAGGTAGTAGATAAAGAAAAGGAGGAAGTAGCCGAGAGTGCTAGAAAGTCGTAAGCAAAGAATAAGGGAAAATGAAACAAGAAAGGAATTTTGTATGTTGAATAACACAAAGGTAATGTATGGATGCACCTGCACTACTGAGAGGGATTTTGAACAAAATCACCGAGTCCGCAGTTACTGGCTTTTGTTATCATAACTACCACAACCGAAAAGTTTGCACATCCCTACACTGCCTAGACTAAAAGCCAGAGACTTCATCGAATGACGCCATATTTTAGTCTGGTCACCTCTAACCTTTTTCCATCTTGAACCTAATTTAGCTGAAATCATGTAATGGGGCAGACGGTGACTAAACATGCGTAACATGTCCCTGCCATCTGATTCGATGAAGGTTGAAAACCCCATTAACTGGCTTACTTATGACTAAACGTCTACTACAGCATACGACGACGGTGTTAGAACATCAGAATTCTCCTCAAGTCCCTTACCTGCAATGACCATGTGTCATAGTCATGTGATGGAGCAAATTGCTATGCATTTCGCTCAGTCCTTAATAGTCAATTGGATATCATGACAGTACCATAGATCGTCTAGGCTGGTTAGAGATTTCGTCGGTCACTCACCTATTATGGTTGACTAGACTTCCCAAGTAACGGAAGTGGTCAGCACGCTCAGGTAATTCAGATTCAGACAAGTAGAATCAACGTAAAACCTCGCACAGATGGGCACCGATTCAAGCTTTTATATTTCAAAGTCTCATCCAGTGAACAAGTTATGAGAAAAAGACAAAATTAGACGAAAATGTTTGAGAGGAAAAAACTCGAAGATAAAGTACTTCACTTTCTATTGTTAAATGGGATGCCAACACAGGCAAGTCCTGCAGCAACAATTTGCATTTGGGTGATGAGAAACGCGCCCTAAATATTCTCAAATTGCCACCCAGTGTATTCAGGAGACAGCATCTTGTCAGTGTCTTCACCTAATAGGTTCATTAAGAAGTTTTGTGTGACAAGGTCAATCCCTGTGAAATCAAACGGCGAGAGGGAGACCTCCATAAGTACGTCTGTGACAAAATTGAACAAGGATAGAGAGAGTGGACATCCTTGATGGATACCACTTGACCGGTTCACCTAATAACTCATCACAGTCTCTAACACCGCCCCCCAACAGTACGTTTGACAGGATGACTTACTTACCCGGCACCTATTTCAGTGACAGACATTTCCATAAGAGCACTCGGCTGATAGAGTTGAGTGCTGCCTCTAGGTCTAGGAATGCAGCTAGCATCGAGTGTTGGTAAGCGTGTTTGTGTCCCAGAACTTGACGGAGAATGAACATCCAGTCAAAACACTCAGGACCTAGGTCTAAAACCTACCTGGTTTTCTCGAGTTTGCTGTTTCTCGCCTTCACTTGGGTGTCTAATAATTATCGAACCTAAGACCTTAAATACTATGTTCATCAGACTGATTTCCCCTTTCTTGAAGACAGACAATGTTTGAGACCGGTTAGAAGGGATCATGTCTAACTCCCATACACCATTAAACACTTAAGTTGTGACCAATAATCCGCGACGACCGTTCTTAAATACCTGCGGTAATACCCTATATGACCTATTCCTTTTTTCAAGCTGCTTTCAACCCTCTCAACTTCTGCAAGAGTTGGAAGGCCTATCGAAGTGTTCATTCATGATGCAACTGGATAGTGACCAACGGAATCGTTGCTAGAGACCAGTTAGTATCTTCATCTAAGTGTTCCGACCATCGTTCCGGTTGTCTCCTCTGTAAGAAGATCACGTCCATTCTTCCCCGCTGTAGAACCACTAACTATTGACATTTTTTCTCGTTTCCTTGATCAATCTACCTACCTTTCTACTATCATGTATCGCCTTTACCTTCTCCGTCACTTTGGTCTTCGCTTCCCAACACTCCCCATGATCATTGTGTAGATTTTTCAGTCTAATTGAGTTTCTGCTGCTCCTCATTGTGCTTGGAGTTTGAAGGAACACATGCACTCGCATCTACTACTTTTTGAGATTTTGCTGAAATGTAATGATCCTTTCCAACCGTTTTCCGAGGATCAGTTATGGTTTTTCACTCTTTTTTACAGCAAGCTGAAAATAGAGTGCAGTTTTAGTAGATCGAAGACTGTTTCGTGATTATGAATCGTTATCAATGGCTGCAGAGCTTAAATAAATCAAAGATGGTTTAATAATATTGACCGAGAGACGTAAAGAGAGATTAAAAGGCAGAGTAAAGCTATCACCCAATGATCTAAGCCCTCTACTTCCAACCGACGGGTCACAGATTCGAACTCAACTCCATCTTTGTAGGTCTGTGCAACCAGGTGGTATCCTTAACCCTCACACAATAGGTATGGCTCATTGTCTATCGCACGAATGTGCTCAAGGTTGCTGAGTGGATTCCAGTTTTTTTAAGCAAGCGAAAATGAAGATTAATAATTATCTGAAAGAATTTGAATACTGACAAATTTGTGAGAGTGGTTGACGCTTTCCGGCTACCGACGTTGTGGAAGGTTACTTTTTCAAGTACCTGGAAATGAAACTGTATTTGTAATAGTGGTGAGCGACTGCAAAGCCCATTGGACATACACTTAAGGCCGGCCACATGCGTCCTTTTTTGAAGTTCGAAATTCCCTT